TTGTCATGGATGAATTGGTCACGATCGGGTTGGTCACGGTTGAATTAGTCATTGGTCGGATTGGTCACGATCGGATTGGTCGTGGTCGGATTGCTCATAGTCGAATTGGTCACGATCGGACGAGTCATTAGTGCGTTTGGTAATTGTCACTGGTAGAAGATTTAGTCTCATTGTTGAACTTTTTGAAAGTATTTCTATTTTTGTCAATTAGATTTGTTTTAATATTATTTTGGACCCCCCCCCAATCTAACAAACTTAGTCATGGACCCGGTCCGACTGGCTTGACTCACTACTGTGCAGGACTGGCCCGGCCCGGGTGACTGGTTTCAGTACCGGGCCTTGGCCCGACCCGGCGTGTATACCGGGGGCGGTTCCGGGACTGCAAAATAGTGAACCGGCCCGGCCGGGCCCGGTTCGGGCCTAACGGCTAGTTTTTTTAATTTTTTTAAATTCTAAATGGCTCCTCCTAGCCGTTAGGAAAGGCCCCAAACGGCTATATAGACAGACATTGGGTGCACGCAGGGGGTCCCGGGGGGTTGGGGGTGGGGGGTTACAAAAAAGTTCTATAAATACACCTATTTTCTAACATTTTTCTACACCTCTTCTCCAACTCTTCCTACTCTCTACACTCTAATACTCTTAATCATCTCCATCTTCATCTTCTCAAATTCTCATATTCTCTAATCTCTATACATCTATTTTACTATTTATACAATTATTATATCTACTTATATATTAATTATCTACTTATAAAAACATATATTATATTACTTATATTTATTATTTACTTAATATATACTTATATCTACTTACATCTACTTAATATATACTTATATCTACTTAATATATACTTATTATCTACTAACATCTACTTAATATATACTTATGTATATTATATTATACTTGTATATTATATACTTTAAACATTATATTATATATTAGTTATACAATTATTATATCTACTAATATAGTTCGAATTATCTACTTTTAAATACATATATTATATACTTAATATCTACTTATTATATATTTGTTATTTACTTATTTACTTATATTACATATAATTAATATATTAAGTATATATATATATATATATTAAAGTATTAAATATAAGTGTACTACTCATATTATAGTAGTATACTTATATATTGTATACTACACACAATATATTATATATTAGTTACACTTTAATTAATATTAGTTAAAATCACTTAATTGTAATTTATTAGTTATACTTAATATTATTACTTATCCACCAACACTCCCATTAATTAGTAATTTAGTATACACATTCATACAATAGTTGATTAGTTAATTCACTTAATTGTTACATTTGTCATTATAGTAGTTCATTACTTAATTGTTCATTTTTTTTAAAGTAGTTCGATTTTTTTTTACAAAAAAATAGTAGTTCGATTTTTTGTTGAGTAGTTAGAATTTTATATCATTAAACTACACTTGTTACATTGAAGTATTAATAAAAATAGTTGGAATTTTAGTTAATTAAACTACACTTTTTAGATTGAAATGTTTTTTAAAATTGTTGAAATTTTAGTTGATAAAACTATTAAACTACACTTGTTATATTCTTAGTATTTACTAAAATAGTTGGGATTTTAGTTAATTAAACTATTACACTTGTTAGATTGAAAGTATTTACTAAAAAACTTGATTAAACTATTTTCCTATAATTTTACTAGTTAATATATATATATATATATTAAATATATTATAATATTAGTTACATTTCATATCAAATTTATACTCATATTAACATTATGGTTGCAATTTAATATTTGTTACATTTTGAAGATGCAACGTGGTAGACATTCGGTTGATATGGTAACCTTACTCACAACTGAAGGAAGGAGATTGGGAAGAATCATCCTTCTTCACGCAAAGGTAAACGACATATCGGGTCTTCTTCTCAAAGTTGAGATGGATTTTGAAACGGATTACCCACGGATAGATGCGGATGCGATGTCCGACGAGCAACTACAACAACTATTGGAGCAACATAATGGGCGCTTTTTCCAACAACAAGACATCCCAACCATTGACGAAGAAGAGCTTGAGGATGAGGATGAGGATGCGGAGGAGGACGATCCGACGGCCGAGGATGAGGGTGACGGCACCCCGCACGATGACACCCACGACGATGACGAGCCTTCTTCATCCCAACCCGGTAAGAAAAAAAGTAAAACTGAACTTATGCTAAATAATTTTGATAAGTGGAAGAACCCGGAGACCGAGATTTGGTACGCAAGTTGCAAGTGGTGCAAGAAAAATTTTAGCTTGGGAATTTCACAAGGATACGGGACCGCCGCAAGGCATCTTAAGGCAAAACACACCGTGGAGTATGCGAAATTAGGCAAGGGCAAGGGGAAGCAAACTCAAATATCGAGGTTTGTAAATAGCCAACCCTTCAGTAATTTTTCATATGATGATTCCAAACATTTGAGTGGTATGTCTAACTTAATTGTTGAAGAAAATTTGCCTTTTATTTTTTCGCAAGTCTTGCTTTAAGACATTATGCTCAAGGTGTTTTAAATCCTCAATTTAGAAATTATAGTCACAAAATGATTAAAAAAGAAGTTATGAGACTTTATGGTTTGGAAAAGGCTCAATTACAAAAAAAAATCGCAAACTTTGATGGTCGTGTTAGTATTTGTAGTGATATATGGGAGGATACTTATCATCATATACATTATTTGGGTGTCACTGCACATTATATTGATGATGATTGGGAAATGCATATACGTGTTCTTGCTTTTCGTGAATTTAATGATCGACACACCGCTAATAACATTTATATTCTCATTGAACATATTTTAATTGAGTATAATTTGATTAATAAGGTGTTTGCTATGAGTTTTGATAACGCTACTAATAATACTGCTGCTATACCTAGATTGTGTGAATTGTGTGATCCTTCTACTTTGATGGGTCGGTTTTTCATCAACGATGTGCATGTCATATTCTCAATTTATGTGTGAAAGACGGGCTAGCTGCGTTAGGAAATGCTTCTGAGATAGTGAATGGGGGAATTAAACTTATTTGCGGGAGTGGTCAACTTAAATTACAATGGGAAAATTATTTGAGGGAAAGACGTGTTAAATATGTTACTTTTCCTAAAGATTTGTCTATTCGCAGGAATAATACTTATAAGTTAATTAAAGTACTTGTTAGATTTAAAAAATATTTTCCTGCTTTTTTAAAAGAGTATCAAAACTATATTATAAATTCGTCTGATATCGACACTTGCGAAAAAATTGGGAATGTTTTGGTATATTTGAATAATGCAACTGAAACTTTTAGTCATGTTTATAAATCTACCTCAAACCAATTTTTTCGTGAAACTGTTAATCTCGCCGGTGCTTTTTGTAAATTTTCTAATGCCCCTTACGTTAGTTATTTTTGTGATTTTATGAAAGAAAAGTTTTAAAATATTATTAACATATTCCGCATAATTATGGTATTGCATTTATTTTTGATCCTCGTTATAAACTTGGTGTTTTGCATGAATGTCTACACTTCTATTATGCTTCTTTTTTTGGTGAATTTCCTATGTATGAAAATAACCCCATAGATCCTAAACAATAATACAACGAGTTTAGTAATTTATTTTATCAATTATTTAAGGGAAAATGGAAACTAATAATCTAATCTTTTAGCGATCTTCATGAATAATCCAACCTTTGCACCTCATCTTCATTCAATGGTCCCTGACCGGTTGATGACCTGCTATTCGAAACTATTTTCTCATCTTTTCAAATCATTATATCATAAATTTCATCTTTCACTAAGATAATATTTTGCAAAGATGAGAAAATAACTTGGAATAGTAGGTCATGAACCGACCAGAGACCAATGAATGAAAATGAGGTGAAAGGGTTGGATTATTCATGAATAATCAAAAGGTGGGATTATTGAAAGAAAGCCACTAAAAGGTTGGATTATTAGTTTCCATTTTCCCATTATTTAATGAGTTTCATGCACAATATGACAACGCACCGTACCCCCTCCCCCGACACGAACATCTTCATCTAAAGGAAATCATTTTTTAAATCTACATTTGGGAATCTTATGAAAAAAAGTAAATCAACTCCCGTTGTTGAACAAAGCTCAGTTAACGAGATTTCTTTGTATCTAACATATCCTGCTGATTTTGAAGAAGATGATGAATTTAACGTTCTAAAGTGGTGGAAGGAAAAAGAAAGAACGTTCTCGATTTTATCAAAGATGGCTAAGCAAGTGGTATCAATGTCGGTTTCAATAGTTGCCATGGGACAAGAATTTAGTGCTGCCGGCAACGTCCTAACGGATTATAGAACGAGATTGAGCGCAAACTCTCTTGAGACGCTTGTTTGCTACCACGATTGGTTGAAGTCCCAACGAAGAACTGAAGAACTTAGTCTCACCCCCACCGAATACCTTATGGAGGAAACAACAACCGACGAGCGCGTAAATTCCGATTGATTATAATTTATTAGAGATTAGAAATGTATTTCATGTTTTAATTTACTTTCAATTGTAGCTCATATTTCAAATAAATATACTTTAAGTTTTTTTTTATGCAGCACTTCTACAATTAATTACTCCCTCCGTCCCTAATTTACCTCCCCTTTTGACCCGGCACGGGGATTAAGATAGTGAGTTTTGTGTGGTGGAGAGTTGTGCAGAGGAGAGAAAAATGTGTAAGAATTGTTGTGAACCACAAATCCTTTGCCAAGAAGGGAAAGAGGAGATAATTTAGGGACGGACCAAAAAGGAAAGTTTGAAGATAATTTAGGGACGGAGGGAGTAGGAAACAAGAGGGAAAAAATTGACCTGGTACCCGACCCGGTACCCCCCCGGTGGCCCGACCCGACCCAGTACCGGTCAACCATCGGGCCGGTTCCAGGCTTGAGTTTTTTAAAAAGATGCCCGGTCGGACCCGAACCGGAATCGGAACCGGAACCAGACCGGGCCCAGTCCATGACTAAACAAACTCCCTCAGCCCGAATGGAACCCAACACTTCAAGGTTCAATCTGACAAACTCGCTCAGCCAAGCTACTTGCGCGGGTAAATGATGTCCTTCCTTCCAAATCCACCTTGCCATGCACCTCATCGTTATCCGCACCAGGGGCTTATTATGCTCCACGTCTCCACCGTCTGTCTAAAGTTCTGTGTGCTTTCTTCCATAACACTCAATTTAGTAATTTTATGCCTAATGGGTGTTCGGATTCTTAACCTTTCCCCATTTTCTTGTTCCAGATCCTTCCTTTTCAACTCCACAGCCCCGTCAGGTTTTATCCCTGTGTCTGCACTGTCCAAGAAAACGCAATTGGATGCACCATCTTCTAGATCCATCCAGCTGAAAAATTCCTCATCTGGGTTCGGCTGTTTGATTCATCAGGCAGGCTTTAGAGCTTCAGGGTTCGTAGCCATGGCTTCCACGGGATCGGTTCAGAAGTCTGAAGAGGAGTGGCGTGCTATTCTATCTCCTGAACAGTTCCGGATTTTAAGAATGAAAGGGACTGAGTACGCATTCTCTCCAAATTTTACTACGCTAATCTCCAAATTTTCAGAATTTACCTTTTAGTTTTCAAGCACACACTAAACTGAAAATGATTGCCGCATTATTGTTGTCATACCTGACAAACTCCAATGTTGTAAGATGGCAGTCCCAAAGAGTGCCAATCACAAGATTTTCCCAAATAACTACAGTACCAAATATTGGTATTTCAAGAATAATTGCCCCAGATTGTAAAAGACATTATTGAATTGAGTATAAGGACAGTACCCTTACCAAGTATAGGTTGAGTACAATACAAAGACTAAGGAGATAAATACAAGTACAATACAAAGACTATAGAGATAAATACAAAATAGAATAACAGTCTTAAAATAATACGGAGTATCTACTTGCCATTAGCCTATTATAATGGCCCTACATTGAGACGACTAACATGCTCTTATTTCTTAAGTGATACTCTTCTGTATCTATTAATTCTGCAATCATTAGTAGTCATAATTTGGAGAAACCTGTAATGCTTTAGTTATAATCCAGGAAATTTCTGATTTTTAAAAATTGGATAGTCTTTTTGTTGTGATTCCATAAGGTTCTTGAAGGCTGATAAATGGCATGAGGCCCAAACATGCAATAAATTGTTTGGACAATAGCCTTAGGCAATGCGAGTATTTCGGTGTATATACTATATAGGTCTTTAGCAGTCTCTGCTGTATTATTTCACTCCCTCGGTCCCACTTTGCCGACTTTCCTTATTTGTTTGGCCATTCCAAAAAGATTTGTCAATTTTCCTTAAAAGGGAATAAATCAGAGCTTATTTTGTTTTCTTCTCTCTTCTATGCAAACTTGAACCACACGATATAAATTCTTTATTCCTCGTTCAAGTAAATATTGGCAAACCATGAAGGAGGGAAGAACCCAGGAAGTATGAATATATTACTAGAGACCAGGATTACAGTCACGAACTTGGTATAATGAAATGATGGCTTTAAAATCAAACATTTGGTTGCTGATCAGGGCATTAGGCGTTACGTGCGGGAATCATACCATGCCAAGTACTCCTAGGCTATGTTTGGATCCCTGAAAGTACTATGGAAAGGAAACAAAATGCCAAGGAAGTTTTTATTCTCATGTTTGTATTTACCTCTGGAAATTCAAAGGAAAATTAAATATAATTGATGTTTTTAAATTTTAATGAAAGAGGTATATAAATAAATTAAAACGATTTCGAACAAATATCAAAAATAAATTTGATGAGTTCGAGACAAAGTTTTATTTTCTAGGCATTTTCTTTCCTTCTGGGTTTCTCTAGTACTTTCCTCTGTATTTGAGTATTATCTTTTCCTAGCATTCTTTGCTTTCCAAACAGACCCCTATTAAGTAGGGACTAGTAACATAAATTCCTTGTTTCATGTTCCAGTATTCCACCAGTGTCTCTTTGCACATAGCCATCCACTTTGCGACCATGTATCACCCACAAATTTTCCTAGTCATAGACTGATGGGTTCTTACTTTTTAGTCATACACTCATACCCAACAGTCTGACCAACTCACCTCTCTTGGAAGAGGACGAGTCCAGTGTTTATACTCCGTTTGTAATCGTTTACTCTGTGACATCTGCATTTATTCAAGTAATAATGTTTTTTATTTACAGATTCACAATGAAGTCAGTTTAATAGAGCCATAGAGGATGTACATTCGAGAAATGTGCAGTTAACATCTCAAATGGTGTAGTATCAATTTACTCGCCTATTTATTATACCCGTAATCTAAAGGTCCAGAGTGTTAGGAAATGGAAATAGAAATACATATGGGAAATCTGGAAGGAAATGTGAGGGGAACGAAAAGGGTTCTGACTCAGATAAATTTGTTTTTTGATATATGTTCAAACTTCAAACAAGTTTTATATATTTGTTTATGGTATTTTGTTATATAAAGATAAAGAAATTTAAACATATAAAATGATTTCAAAAACATTAATTATATTTCGTTTTCTTGGCATCTTTATGAGGTAAAAGTGTAAAACCAAACGCATGTCAATAAATTTCCTTGACATCCCCCCTAGCATTTTCTGGGATCCAAACATACCCTAAGGGTTTTATGTTGGGTGTGTTTGCCTATAATCTAACACCCTCTTTGTACAACATGGAAGAGAAGCTATGAAGGGACTAATCTGCATCTAGATATAGGTTTTGCATTGGAAGATTTGTATAGTAGATGACACTCGGATGCTTGTTTCTTGTTGGGTGAATGTCCTTCTTGCAACAGGTACATTGACCCCCACCCTGGTGATTAGATGAATTAAATTCCATTAATAGGGTAAACATAGAATCAGAGGGAAGTTTGGCCATAAGTTCTAACTTAGGTAAAATGAATGCAACTCAAAGATGCTAATGTGCCATGCTCTTAGCTGAATATGTTGTATTTGGTATATATATATATATATATATATATATATATATACACATATATATAGGGTGAAGATCGGATACAAAGTATGCTTCCAGTAAAAAATACAAATTCATCTCATCTGTTCAAAAATACAAAATCAATGGTCACAATTAATTAGGCCACCATCAATCAGCCGTTAATGGGGTTTAGGATCCCTATTTTTTCTCAAGTGAATGCGGTTAGACACTTTTGGAGAAGTTTTAGGATCTACCAAATTAATACATGGTAATCTCATTGAAATGGATGACTAGGATTAATTTGCACTTTGTAAATTAAGATAACTTTGTATGTGATCCTAAATCTATATATATATAGAGAGAGAGAGTCAGGAGGCCTGACTGGACAGCCCCGTGCGGCCTTCCCCTTTTGGGGGCATTCCCGGTGGAATTTTTTGATGAATTTTTTTGAGCATGTTCCTCATCAAGTCTAGTTTATCCATACCAAATTTCAGCTCAAAATTCGATCGGGAAAGGCAGTCAAATAAATTCTTGAAACATACTGGGCATTCTGCGCATATATAAAGTGCAGTATGTTTCAAGAATTTATTTGACTGCCTTTCCCGGTCGAATTTTGAGCTGAAATTTGGTATGGATAAACTAGACTTGATGAGGAACATGCTCAAAAAATTTCATCAAAAAATTCCACCGGGAAGGCCCCCAAAAGGGGAAGGCCGCACGGGGCTTCCGGTCAGGCCTTCCTGACTCGAACGGGACTCTATATATATATTATTTATATATTTCTTTAAATTTATTATGTGGGACAGGTATCCAGGAACAGGGGAATACAACAAGCATTATGAAGAGGGAGTGTACAAGTGTGTAGGATGTGGAACTCCTCTTTACAGGTCCACAACTAAGTTCGACTCGGGCTGCGGCTGGCCCGCTTTTTATGAGGGTCTTCCTGGTGCCATTAACAGGACCGTGAGTGTTCTCCCTTTTACACTCCCTTTCTTCAGGAGGATTCAGTTGGACTTAATCCAGTAATGGACTAACTGGCTAGATCAGACCAAAATTGAACATATTACCATATTACGCTCAAATAGATCAAATGAACAAGATATATATTCTCCTCCATCCCATTTCCTAAGATGCACATTCCTTTTTTAGGTTTTCCCAAAAATTTGAACATTTCCCTAAAATAAGATTCCACCAACTTTTTAGTTTACCACCTTATCCCTTTATTTATCATTGGCTAAAAAGTCAAATAGGTACATGAACTAACTTAAAGTGTTCAATTAGCTCCTTATATAGGAGCTAATTGGGGCGGTTCCTGGTGGAATTTTTTGATGAATTTTTTTGAGCATCTTCTTCATTAAGTCTAGTTTACCCATACCAAATTTCAGCTAAAAATTCAACCGGGAAGGTAGTCAAATGATTTTTTGAAGATAACTCCGCAGTTAAACAACACAGTACATTTCGGAAAATCATTTGACTGCCTTCCCGGTTTAATATTTAGCTGAAATTTGATATGGGTAAACTAGACTTAATGAAGAAGATGCTCAAAAAATTTTGTCAAAAAATTCAACCGGGAACCGCTCCAATTGGCAACGGCCGGGCAGAACCTCCTATATAAGGGGCTAATTGAACACTTTAAGTTAGTTCATGTACCTATTTGACCCTTTAGCCTTTATGATTTTACTTCTTTACTTGGTGTCATTGTGTGATCCACTCTACTTTTCTTAATTTTTGGAAGTTAGAATTGTGAAACAGTGAAATTATCCTTTATTTTCTTAAAACCTGCATCATTTTCTAAGCTTGCCTATTTAAGTGTAGTCTAGTTTGAACTGATCTACAACGACCTGACTTGGTGTTATGTGAAGTTAATATCTATACACGTGTCTTTCATAAACTTTTAATAAAATATTCTTACCGGAGAGGGTTCTAGAACCCCTCTTAGAATGAGAACCCTTTTTAAAACGAGAACTTCTAATCTTGATCATTCTTTTTCACAATCAATGGCTAATATTGATAAGGTGACATTTTTGTAATTATTTAGGATTAATTGCAAAAGGCCTAATTTGAATTTAGAGTAATTATGAATATGACCCCATGTGAATATTAACGAAGACCAATGATTGCAATAAATGAAAAGTTGATATTAAAAGCTCTCATTATAAAGAGTTCTCATTTTAAGAGCGGTTCTCACTAGAACCCTCCCCTATTCTTATCATAGTTATTTATTTACATTGTCAACCTTTTTTAAATTATTCTTTAATTTGATGATAAAAATAAAGATTTATATAAGGGAAAACTGTCAAATAGGTCCTTGTACTACTGACAAAAAGTTAATTGAGTCCTTGTAGTTTTAAACGAATCAATTAAGTCCCTCAAGTATTACAAAACAACCAAATTAACTTGTTAGCAGGTTGCAATACAGTACCAAGTTACCCGCCTCCATCTAACTCAACTGGGATTTTTCCAATTTTTTTTAATTTTTCATTTTCTTTTCTTTTACACTTTATTTCTTTCTTCTTTTCTTCTTTTTTCTCCATGTCGGATCAGCTCTCTTTGGCTTTTGTTGATTTCTTCCTTTCTCACCTCCTTCATCTCGATCTCTTCCTTAAGATTGGGTGTCACCATCGGTCGATGTTGTGAAACTCAGATTTTGCACCTGCCATGGCCGCCAAGGCAACGGCCAGTTGGATCTGCGGCAGCGGTTTTTTTCGGCGAAGAAATTGTCCAGCGCAGCAGGGGAAAAGATAGAATGATAACGAGAAAGAATGAAATAAAGGAAGAGAAAAAGAAAGAAAAGAGAAAGAGAAGGAATTTGGAGGAAGTTGAGGACTTGCAGTGGTCAGAGCAGAGAAGGAACCTTACGAGAAGAAAGAAGGAAGGGATAGAAAAGAAAAGAGAAAGAAAAAGAAAAGGAAATGAAAAAAGGAAAAAAAAAGGGTGAAGTGGGCTGCCATGTGTATGCCATATCACTCCACATGTGTGCCACGTCAGTAGGTAACCTGCTGACATGGCAGATTACCCGCTGAAAGTTAGATTTGATGAATTTTCAGTAGTATGGGGACCTAATTGATGAAATTAATAGTAGGGGATTTAATTGACTTTTCGTACATAGTAGGAGGACATATAAAATAAATATGAATGATAACCTTATAATTTGCTATACAAAAAAGATGATCAAACTCAAAATAAATATATAAGAGCTAATTTAAAAAGAAATGTCTTTTTTTTTGTATTATAATTAGTAATAATGAATATGTAAAATATACGTAGTATTTAACAATATATTATGTAACATATTCATTAGTGAATATATTTTAAGAATAATAGAAGTTACATTATAACATATAAAGCTACATTATGTTGAACAAGAAAATGAGGAATATTTCACTGGTATGGTCAACAACTGAAATGAGTTAGAGAGCCCTATTATAATTAAGAGTAGGCAAGACGACAAAATGAGGAAAATTTCACTCCATGTACAAGTCCTAATCCCTCCCACACTTGCTGTTTGGATGTTTTTGTTTTCAGACTGATGCAGATGGGAGGAGAATAGAAATTACATGTGCTGCCTGCGGAGGACACCTTGGCCATGTTTTCAAGGGTGAAGGGTTCCCCACGCCAACGGATGAGAGGCATTGTGTCAATAGTATCTCTCTAAAGTTTGTCCCTTCACCAAATTCTGATGCCTAGCTCCTGAGTCCTGACTGACTGAATATGAATGTGTGGTTCCAACTCTAATATACTGCTTTGACTTTGTATCACACAACTGAAGCTCATAATATGAGTGAGGAGCCCTTGTGGGCGGTTTTTTTTCTGTGTTTGTGTAAATGTCCATTGTCCAATCCTTGTGTTTGTCATATATTCCGTAAGTCTGTATCGGATTATGTGCTGTTCTGGACTTGTATCTCTTGTTTAATAGGGCTAATAACACCATCCGCTCACAAAACTGAATCGACATAAAATTAATGGCATTTCAAATGGTTACAATTTTTTTCAAAGAACCAAACTAATCCCACATTCCCACCTCTAATCCGTTGGATTCCATATGCTATGCATTGTGCACCTTGAGTCAACGGTAGAGGTTTCTAATGCATAATTGGTTTTGCAGTTCAATTGATTTATGTTTTCAGGGTTATGCTTTAAAACAGGCCAAACTGTGAAAATGGCCTAAAACTATGCGGGAAACCCACCTGAATCTAAAGATACCCAGTTCTAACCAACTAGCCAAATTAAACCGGTGAGGTAAAATATGTCCATAGAGATGGTTTACATGATATAGCGTTTAATAGAACTGAACTATTATTAATTTCATTCCAACCTACGAACACCAGAATTTGGTGTTGTTTGTTTTGTGGATTCATTGATGATAGATCTACCAAGTAAGAAAGAAAGTACTTTTTGCAGTTTTTGCCAAAGAAAACTAAAGCATTAGCTTTTGCGCCATTATATTCAATTAAATAAAATGAAATGATAAAAAAGAAGAAGCCTTTTGAGTCATGCGCAATGACGAGTACGAAATGACAAAGTTTCCATATATTCCTCTCAAAGTCAAGTATGCCTGTCCCATAGGAATAATGCAGATAAGCTGCTTGCCTGCTAAAGAGGATTCGTACTAATTTTTGACTGATTACTTTGTTGATCTAAAAATGAAGTCCTTGGATTATCTTTAGATATTTCCTTTAATGAAAATGAAGTCATTAAGCACACACCTAAACAGTAGATCTAATTTCTTGACGAGGAATGGAAGCAATTTTTTTTTGTAGAAGCATATCTATGTTGACCAAGGACCGCTACTTTTTAAGTCCCTTGATCCTACTTGTAGTGTTGTACTTCATAGTAGTTGTCTAGTTGAGGCGTAGAAGAAATAAAAAGAACTTGTGAGTCACATTAACCAATTTGAATTAATATTCTTTTCCTTCTACAAAATTCTATTAGTTTATTATTCAACGGCTCAACGCTGTATGAAAAATGGAATAATCAATGACTTACTCCACTTGTTTCAAAATGTTGAATCCCCAATCCGAAGGGTCTCTCACAACTCGACCCGATAGAGCATATAAGAGGTTGTAAATCATGATAATCCTCTTAAGCACAGAAGTTAGATTAGTGCCCGTTGCGCACACGAGTCCCCCTTACTTTTAGAAGTTACTGTCACACTGTCGTTGGCGGGACTCAATCCTGGGTCACCTGTTCCAAATTTCACTCATGTGACCAAATGAGCTGCCATATGCGGGCATTAATGACTTACTCCATATTTTTGAGATTTGTTTTACGAATTAAATTTTAATATTAATTTTCAAAAATTGAATAAATATTCAAATTTTTATGATTTTCTTATTCTCCCATTGAAACAATACATCTAGTGATATACTTTCAAAAAGTAAATTACTAATGTACCTATCATTACCAATATTCTTAACCTTAATAGTAATATCATGCACGAAATCAATTCATATAGATAGTAATTACAAGTCTCATATCTGCCTCTTTAAGGGGAGGAATGAAGACAGCCTTAGCACACTAGGTATGTCAAAATCATGTTTTTGAGCCCAATATGTATGTATTATTCCAAATACTTTTAATAATTTTTTACCAGAAGAATAACTATATGTAAATATAAAAAATATAAAGAGAAAAGCATAAATGGATAATAAGATGCCTATATTTACTATTTAAATATGTAATGGGTATCTATGGAAGCAAGGTGTAAATTAACTTCTTGGTTTACGATTCCTATAATTATTAGCTAATTAAATATCTAACAATTGAATATTTATAAATAGTTATACACCCACACACGTCATGTATAATTAATTATATACCACAGAATAAAGCACTACACAATTACGGGAAAAAAAATACTCCACTAACACTTGTAAATTTAAATGCTAAATCAAATTTAAATGTTGTTGTGTGTTTACTTTTCTATTATACTATCTGTTATTTGTTAAATGTCATATCTTTGATGTCATATTTCTCTTTAGGAGTGTCACAATGATTCCATTGAACCGCAAGGTGATTGACGCAAGTTAAATATTATTAGACACAACTTAACTATCTATCAAAACGAATGCGGCGTTTTTTATCTATCTATCAAAAAATTAATCACATAATTAATTAAATTTAGAGGCCGTTTGGTATGAGTGTTTTTCGGCTTATAAGTCAACTTTTTCACCAAACACGTAATTTTTTATTTCGCGCGCCGAGTTGTGTAATAATAAGAAAAAAAATGGTTAGAGTTATTTTTCTGGCTGTATTGGCTGAAGTTACTGTAAATGACCATTTTAACTATTTTTCATATATATTTTTCTTTATTTTATTAATAAAGTATATTTCAAATATAATTTTTTCATAAATCAGCAGAATCAGCCAATACAGTCACTTCAGCCAGAACTTCATAAATTTCAGCAGAATCAGCCAATTCAACCAATTTCAGTTTATCAAACGGGCTCTTAAATGTTAACCTTATAAATAATTTTAATAAACACCATAGAATTTAGGATGATTAAAATGGACCGGCCGAAGTTTCGGTCTCAATCAAATCATATATTCACCGATTAAATTTAAACAAATTAGATCAAATCATATATAGAAAATTCAAAAATATACAACACTAAACATTCACAGGAAAGATACCCGACCAAATTTAGACACACTAACCTATACCAAATAAATTCAATTAAAATAATCTTTAATCCTTATTTTAAAAAGACAAACAATATTTCCACATTTACGCTACTTAGGGGCACAAATAAAGGATGGGCACATTCCACTCAAATTTGATAAAATTCTTTAATTTATGTTCCCAAATTAATATATGTAAAAATGGTCTTTTACATTTTACCCATCCACAGTTTCACACCAGTATTTATTTATCACGAGTAAAACGGAACCTTATATTTTCAGAAATAATTATATATTTATTACAAAAATAAAGATTGTTTACAAAAATGTAACTAATAATTAAAGTATTAATGGAAGCAATAATAACTTATGTTCAATTTTTAAACTTAAGTTATCATGACACTACATTGTAGTAACTATATTTTAAGTTTTATTGTGCTATTAAGTTTTATTTAGTTTTATTTAATAATATTTTTGAAAAAAACCCATATTTTCAACGTTTATTAATATAAACGCGAAGTCAAAGGTGCACGCGATTTACCAGCTCTACAAAAACAGGAATCTGCATAATAATGAACAGAGCATCCAGTAAAATTCGCAGGGTAAGTTGCCTGATGCCCACTGACTCTTAACTGAAAACTCCGCAAAATTGTTGATGATAATCACCAGAAGGCCTAAAGCAGAACGAGTCCGCCATCCTTTTAGTCACCACCGCTCATGCCAGCCTAAACCAGCGGTCAAAAAAGAAGAAAATTAAAGTTTAGTCTTTCATGGGAGAGCAAGATGGGAAACCTGTTGAAGGACCACCATCTTCAAAACCCACCAGTTCGGATCCAACCGTCGGAGTTTCTGCTACCATGGAGAAAGCGGAGACTCCATCTTTATCATCACTCCCTCCCCAACCTTCTTGGTTCACTCCTAAAAGGTGCAGTTTTTATTTTTGCTTCACATTTTCTTGTAAAAATTGATTCAAGAAAACTTCAAAATGTTTAAGATTTTTAATCTTGACCATTTTTGTGCAAATGGTTGTGTCCAATAATTCCCGGGATCGTGGCGTGCTTCTGGGTTTGGAGATTTTTTGTTTTTGAATTGTTTGGTTTGCTTATTCAACTATTCGAATGGTTCAAAATGCAGTGAGTTGATGAAATTACTTGTCATTAGGGTGATGAGCATAGTTTGTTTGTTTTTTTGTTTAATTTTATGCCAGATAAGTATAGGTTTATTTGGGCTTCAAGTAGAGTTTCATATAGGCTATGTTTGGAATATGGTCATTGGGGAAGGAAAAATGCTCAAACTTTTTTTAGTACTCCGTAATACATACTTGGAAAATATGAACAGAAATCAAATTTCAAGTACTCTGTATAATACTTTAAAATTTCAAGTATATATATTTCTTAATCTGAATATATATGAAATGAGTTTCAACAAATATAGTACTAGTAGTTGATTCCTTGACTCGGAACCAATTTGCTTTCCCAAATTTATCTTTCGCCTTCTCTTCCAGTTGTTCTTTCACTAATTCCCTAGCATTCTCCCGGCTTACAACATACTCCTAATTTTGTAAGGCTGACTCCCACTGAAACAATGGCAATTTTACAGCTCGAAATGAGCCAGTGTAATTTTACTTTTAGTAACCTTTCGAATATTTTGATTTTATTAGGATTTTGATGGTTCTGTTATTAATGATTCAGGTTGCTTTTTATCTTCTGTGTGATCAACTTGCTAAATTATTTGGACCGTGGAGCTATAGCAAGTAATGGTGTCAATGGGAATCCCAGAACTTGTACTAAAAGTGGTGCATGTACATCTGGAAGTGGAATTCAGTAAGCATGCATTGAAAAAGTCATGATCTTTAGTATTATTTGAGTTCCAATATTCGCCAAATATATATTCCCTGGTGCAAAAAAGTATTTTTTTTTAATTAAACAGGGGGGAATTTAAACTGACTAACTTTGAAGATGGCGTCATTTCATCTGCTTTTATGGTCGGGCTCCTTGTGGCATCTCCAATATTTGCATCCCTTGCCAAAAGGTGATTAGTCTCACTTTTTTGAATTAAGGTGGAAGGTATTTCATTATTGTATGTTATGGTTACTAAAATCTTGGATTTGATCATATATGAATAAAAACTTCTGTATAACCCAATCTTTTGTTTCAACCATCTTAGTTTGACAAAAAAGGTAATAATACTGTTAGTGAAGCAATTGAAAGGGAACCCCATAATAGTTCTATGCTAAAACTTTTTCCCAAATTACATTAAATTCTTTTGTTTGTAAACTATGTTTGTCATTTTTGCAGAGTCAACCCATTTAGACTTATTGGAGTTGGACTGTCGGTATGGACCCTCGCAACTGCTGGATGTGGATTTTCAATTAATTTCTGGTCCATATTGATATGCCGCATGTAAGTTGTTGTTGTTGTATTGATTTGCCTACTTGGAGCTTATTAAGAAAAACTAAAAGAAAAGCTTAAAATGATGAATCTCCTTACAAAAGAGGCTTATGCCTTTTATATGGCTTTAAAAGTTTTTCTCTTTCTAATATAAGGCTTAGTTTATATTATTAGAACTATAGGAGTATATCCGTCCACCCCCACACCATCCTACCTTTCCTATACCACCAATAGATATAGAATTTGTGCCTTTCTGTATATATATATTTTTTGCCCCCTGTTCCAGGTTTGTTGGTGTTGGTGAAGCTTCATTTATTAGTCTCGCTGCTCCATTTATTGATGATAATGCCCCAATTTCTCAGGTTCGGTTAAGGGCCGCTTACTATGGATATTGAATCCCTAATGGTTTTTCCTTTTATTGACATTGAGATGAACCATTTCGCTAGCTTAGAATTAATGCCGGAGTATTTATACTCTGACATTCAATTGTTATATATATATATATAGGGGATGTTTCAAATAAAAAGTGGTCTTCCCGTGCAAAGTGCGAAATTTGCACTTTTTCATGTTTCGCTTGCACGTTTTCTTGTTTTCGTTGCACTTTTTTGTGGTAGAGAAAAAATTGGGTTATTTACAAAACTGTCCCCGTCACTTTGGCCAAATTTGACCAAAATTGAAATGGTGCAAAAGTGCAACATAAATAAGCAAAAGTGCAAGCGAAACATGCAAAAGTGAAATTTTTTGCACTTTGCACGGGAAGACCACTTTTTATTTGAACTCTTCCCTATATATATATATATATATATATATATATATATATATATATATATATATATATATATATATATATATAGAAAAGATCAGGTCCCTCCGGAGGGACGGGAGGGACCGTCCGGCCAAGGCCATCAGAGGGCTTTCCCGGTGGAATTTTTTGATGAAAATTTTTGAGCATGTTCCTCATCAAGTCTAGTTTATCCATACCAAATTTCAGCTAAAAATTCAACCGGGAAGGCACTCAAATGATTTTTGGAAGATAACTGCGTTTTATATGTATATAAACTGCGCAGTTAACTTCCAAAAATCATTTGACTGCCTTCCCGATTGAATTTTTAGCTGAAATTTGGTATGGATAAACTAGACTTCATGAACAACATGCTCAAAAAAATTCAGCAAAAAATTCCACCGGGAAGGGCCCCAAATGGCGACGGCCGGACGGCGGGTCCTGTCCCTCCGGCTGGACAGGATCAGGCCTCTATATATATATATATATATATATATATATATATATATAGGTTAATAACGCCCCCTGGGGTAAAAAAAACAAAAAAATATATATAGGTTAATATTTATTAGTGCTAGTATTTGCTGGTAACTGGATTTGCATAACTACTGTTTTCATTTTAAAACATTTACTTTGAAATCATTATTATATGCACTTGTCAGCAAAAAAATAGAAATATTAGAACAAATTTAGTGCTTTCAAGTATTTTGTAAGAGCATTCTTACATAAAATCCCTAATGGCCAAAGAAAATTAACTCTAGCTTCCTTCTTAATTTATCTTTTTATCAGAAAACAGCATGGCTTGCAATGTTCTACATGTGTATACCAACTGGAATTGCGCTTGGATATGTATATGGTGGAATGGTATGTTCTTTGGTTTTTTTCTAAAGATCTAAGGCCTCTTTCACTTTGTTCACTCTCTTCATCTTCTTTTCTTGTTGGTATAGTTGTCTTAAGAGTGTATAAGTAATTTTTGTAGGTTGGAAGCCATCTAACTTGGCATTGGGCTTTTTGGATTGAAGCAATTTTGATGCTCCCTTTTGCTATTTTTGGTTTTGCGATGAAACCGTTGCAATTAAAAGGTACACTTTTGGTACTCTTTTACTCTAATCATGTCATTTTTTTCAAATTATTTAAAATAAAAAAGAATGTACAATGCAGGGTTCTCTCCAAGTGTATCAGAAAAACTACTGACTTCTGTGGCAGCTCCTGGATGTGGAGAAAAAGGTAATGTGGATTTATTTTTATGCTAATTAATGTGAGGAAGTGGCTAATGAGTTCAGCCACAGAGATTTATACATCGAATTTAGCTGATAGAGTTAGTAGCCAAATTTATTTTTTGGTGGCTAATGAGTTCAGCCAGAGATATATTTTTGGTGCATCATACTACCTCCGTTCTCTATTAATGGCAACATTGGACTTTTTACACTATTCACATATTCTACGTTGACTATATTTTATTAATTAATGTATTATAATTTAAATTTTTTAAAAATATTGTTAAATTCTTCTCATTCTAAATTTTCGAAATATGAATTTTTTAAATTTTTTACTAATAAGGAATGAAAGATATTAATGGTCAAACTTGTGCGTTGGTAAACGTGAAATGTTGACTGTTGCAATTAAAGGGGAACGGAGGAAGTATTAATAAGCTCAAATTTATCAAGCCCTGTAATATAATTTCCTTATCCCATTCTATGAAAGTAAGATGAACAAAGTCATATTGAGATTTGCTGATAGAGTTAATAGCCAAAACTTATTAGCAAAATTTGTTTTCAGAACCTTTTCTTCATTAATTTCTATCTTCTCATTGCTTCATAGTTTGATTCAGAACATGTAACGTATGCAGTTGTGTCAAATGGTGAAGATGGTTCATTGACCAGAAGTGAGATTCACGACGCTTCTAAAGTGTCCAGGTACACACTTTTCTCCCACTTTATCCTTGATAGCTGGAAAAACTATTGCATTTGAGGCCATGAAGTTGGTCTGAAAAGGTTTGCAGTTCATTTAATTCTTATGGCATGTTCATCTCTCATTTTTGGCACAGGTCAAATTGTTATTGTGTTAATTCAGATCAGTTCATCGGATTTTTCAAAGATATGAAAGCTCTTTTTTCTGAAAAGGTTTTTGTTGTGAATGTTCTAGGTATGTTCCTCTCTCTTTTCTTTACCTCCAAGATACTCCACCTATGGAAAATGAAATCTATTGATGCCTTAATCACTTTGTTATGCTTATTGGTGAGGAATTCATGATATGAAATAAGATTTCAATATAATTTCATGGGGATGTCTTTTGCAGGATATGTAGCGTATAATTTTGTAATAGGTGCATACTCCTACTGGGGGCCTAAGGCCGGTTACAACATATATCATATGGTAAGCTTGAGGATTTTAGGAAATACTAACTCATATTTGCATGTTTCCATTGATGTAATGGATACATATTTGACACATCTTTCACTCCGGGTTAATGAATCTGGCACTTCAATTCAATGAAACTGTGTACATTAGATTTAGATTAGTAATAATCCGTCTGGCGTTTTGTACATGTTTGGTGAACATTGTGGCCGATTGATTATTTGATTTGTGGTTTAGCTTGCACAAGTATAACTGATGAATAACGTGGAGACAAGTGGTGTAGCCAGAAATATCGTATTAGGGGAGCCAGGGCTTGGAAATATTATAAAGGGGGCCAAAGTTTCATAATTTAACTTTTTGTGGTTTATAGATAGATTTCACATATTCTCAGAGCAATGCAAATATGGTATTTGGCAGTGTTACTATATTCTCAAATCTCACATAGGTTTATAAATCATTTCATCAATATATATATATATATATATATATATATATATATATTTGATGCATGTTTGTTTTTCCCACAGAGCAATGCAGATATGGTATTTGGCGGTGTTACAGTTGTATGTGGAATATTTGGAACACTTGCAGGTGGATTTCTTTTGGATCGTATCTCTTCCACACTATCCAATGCTTTTAAGGTAAATAAATGCTGCTTTCTATTTCTTTTTTAAAAGAAAATGCTCTAACAAGAGTACAAAACAATGTAAAATTCGAAAATGGGAGTAATATGTGCACCAGGATGCCCTTTATGTGTAGTTATGCAAATTTTTCTCTTCTGTAGATAAAAGTCGACAAACACTCGTTCTGGGAAGTTGTAACTAATTGTGATTGGTGTTGCAGCTACTCTCTGCAGCAACATTCTTTGGGGCTATATTTTGCTTTGCTGCCTTTTGCTTTAAAAGCTTATACGCTTTTATAGCTCTGTTTGCCATTGGAGAACTGCTCGTGTTTGCCACTCAGGTAAAAAACTTTTAATTCTAATTTAGACATCATTTGTGTATATTTTTTACACCTGAATGACATGCATTTCCCATGTTAGGCTCCCGTAAATTATGTTTGCTTACATTGCGTGAAACCGAGTTTAAGACCATTATCAATGGCTATATCGACTGTCTCCATTCACATATTTGGAGATGTCCCTTCTTCTCCTCTTGTTGGGATTCTCCAGGTTGGTAGCTTATATATGCAAATATCATTCCTGGTTGTTGAGAAATGCCACAGACATGATTGAATGGTTCTTGACCGACATAGTTCTTTTTTTTACAGGATCATGTAAACAATTGGAGGTTTACTGCTTTGACTTTGACATCCATTTTATTCTTGGCATCCTTAATTTGGTTAATAGGTTAGTGACTTTGTTTGAATATCGGTTTAAATATTGTTTTTGTCCCTATCAATAGTGTATATTATTTTAGTTCAGTCCTCCGACCCTATAAAACCCTCCATTTAACAACAAAGTTCACATGACTAACATGGTTCCGATCTCGCCTTTTAAAGTCATTTTAAAATACAGCACTTAAAATATTTCGTTTGTGGAGAGCCATATATACTTGAATTAAAAACATGGATATGTTAGTTTATTTTAACCTAACTCCACCAATAGTCTCAAAAAAATTTGAAAAAGTGGAAACGTAAAGTTTATAATGAAATTATGCGAGTTGTTTAAAAATATAAGATTGACAGAAAGTTGGAGTGGCTATAACAAAAACAATGACATATTACCCGAAATAGGACTAAAAACGTTTGAAAATTCCAAAATAGGACTACCATGTTTTAATTCCCAAAATAGGACTAATTACTGTCGTGTTCTGGCAGTACCAGACTTCAAATATGGCAGTATTTTCTAAACTTGGCAGTAATTTCTCCTATTTTGGGAATAAAAAACATGACAGTCCTATTTTGGAAATTTCAAAATGTTTTAGTCCTATTTTGGGAACTTTCCCAAAAACAATCCGCTCCTTAATTTACAGGAATGAGAAAAAAAACAAAATCTTTGGGTGTTTAATGTGCCTTAAATGTATATCAGTGTTTAATGTTTCATTTAGTGTTAAATGAAACATACTATATTTATATACAAGTATATATCAGTGTTTAATGTGAAATTAATCTAATTCTTAGCTACCACCAAACAGTTGAACTTAAATTCCTCTTTATTCTTTTCCCATGCAACTCAAGTTTCATTACATGTTTCCAACTAAACGAGTTGTTTAAGTATCCACGTTTGAAAATTACTCCTTTTTTATCCCTATTATAAAAGATGGACCGTCCGGTTGAGACTACTTAAAAGTTAAAAGTTGTCGTTGTTGATATGCGTGTTAGGGATATTTCTTCATAGCGTGGACAAATTTGATGAAGAAAGTGAGCGGCCAAACCCTACCACAACGCCATTCCTCGAGGAGGAGATGAAAAAAAGGAAAGAGACTTGTTGAATCATGGCCCTGCTAGCTGCTTGCTGGAAGAACAAGCAAATGTAAAAAATTGTATAGTTTGTCTGTCCAAACGAGTCTGAAGAAGAAATAGTCTGCAGAGGATAGATATTCTGTTAGGGTGGGTTTGTTTTATCAGGGGTGTTGTCTTCTTGATTTTTGCGTTAGAATTTATTTGTTCAATTTTGAAGTATCCATACTTGTTCATAGTTATGATGATGAGGAGGAGGAATCGGAGGATGAAGTAATAATAATAGTAGTACTTAATATTAATGTTTACGGATGCAATATTATGAGGACTAAACCCAGATGCAATACGTAATGTGATTATCTTCTTTTTGTATTTTACAAATTTATTAATGATACATATAATGTTTACTTGTTGAAATGATTTAAAGTGATGAAGATAAAAGATAGAAAAACTCGTTAACTCGAGTAGATCGGTGGAATAGATTATGAGTTTTTGCAATTCTCTCAGAGGGAATTAGGGTTATTAGGGACAAAGCGAATTAGAGAGAAGTAGATGACGACATTAGTCAATATGAGATATCATCTGAGATTGGTTCTACATGTGCACTGTAAACAATTATGTCAATTGAGATATATGTAGAACCAATTTTCCAAAATCTTTTGACTAATGTTATCATCTGAGATTTCCAACATCTGTGCATATTAGGAAAAATTGGGTTTAATTGGTTCTACATATATCTCATACACATAATCAACGGACTAATCTGAGATGTTTACATGTGCCTTAGTCAGAGCGTGGATAACATGATTCGCAGATCTTTTACAAAAAGAGATTTTAAAGTTACTCTTTGTTTCTAACATCCTAAGAATATCATCAATAATAAGTTTTTTTATCATCAAATCCAACAAATCTATTATTAAATCAAAGTAACGTTCGTCACATGGCTGATAATACAATCAAATAAAAAGAAGCAAAGTGATAAAAAGCCTAATGTCTGCCGTCCGCCCTCGAACTAGACTTAGAATGTATCACCTATTCACCTCTGTAGAAGCAATAATATTCGTTGATCCTGTATTGTGATAATAATCAATTCGCTGTATTGTCGGGGACAACAGCCGCCAGTGCCGAGACTCCGGCCGTTATTGCTGGGGATAGCAGCTGCCATCACCGGCGCTCGAGCGCATCACCACCTTGCTCCGCTGTTGTTTACACTCTACTAGCTCATCACCATCGTCCTTCCTCGGCCGACGACAACACTCTTCTTCTTTGGAGACTGAGGCTTACGAAATTCACCATGAGGCCTTCTTTCAGAAGACTCACGCCGTGCTAGTGCTGGTTGGCTTGGTGCCGAAATGGCTGAACAGCTGCCAGAGGATACGTTTCCGAGCTCTTCTGCGATGTCACCAGGTTGAATGAAAATCTGGAACATGAACAAAATGGGGAAGATGGACCCAGTCTTTGCCGACAATGAAGTGAATGGGAACAAGGCTACAAGGCCGCCACGCGGGAAAAGAAAAACAAAGACAAAAGGGAGAGAGAGAAAACTTGCCAAGTGAGCTTCCACCAAGGCTGCGACACGCATGTGACTTGGTAACTGGTAACTAGTGCTGTTATGGAAATCGAGCTTGGTTCGAACTTGGCTCGACTCGACTCGGTAAAGCTCGAACTCGACTCGTTTATTCCAGGAATCGAGTCGAGCTCGAACTCATTGGTTTACTCGATAAGATTAACGAGCCGAGCCGGCTCGACTCGAAAAACCCGATAAAGCTCGTGACAAGGCTCGTGAGATGGGTAAAATTGTCATTCTATCACATAATAGGTTTAGCCGTTTAGGCCCATTAGTGCTGGTTGAACATGTGTTGTAAACTTGTAGTTAATAAGTGAGTTTTCGAGTTCGAGTTGCCGAGCTCGAGTAGCTCGACTCAGGTATATTAATGAGTCAAGCTCAAGCAGTAAATAGGTTTAACCAGCCGAGTTCGAGCTCAAATACATAATCGAATTTTAACGAGCCGAGCTCGAGCCAGGCTCGAAAAATGTGTGAGTCGAGTTCGAATTTGTGATACCGGGCTCTGCTTGGCTCGAATAACAGCACTACCGGTAACTCACTTACTAAATAGCTCAATTGAGTATTTTTAAGAGTACGAGGATTTAATTGGACTCTTTTTAAAGTACGGGAGTCTGATTGACTTGTTTAAAATAGTACGAGGACGTATTTGATATTTTTCCTTCTCTCTTTACTATCTTCTTTCATTGGATTTGTCAATGTTGAGTGACTCAAGAATTAAGAAAGATAAAGTTTTGTTTTACTACTTTACTTTACCTCTCATAAAATAGAGAAATTAAAATAAATGGAAAATGAGGTAAATGTAATGGCAAGTTTGTCATTTTATTCATCTTCCCATACTTAAATATGAATTTTACAAATCAAATTGAAATTTCTTTTGCGACCAAGACTGCGTGAAAAAACAAGGCTGGTAGCGTAAAAACCTTATTTAAAGTGTTGCCTCCGTCTCAAAATACTTAATCATCTCTAAAGATTTGGACTATGATTTTGATCAGTATAATATTACGAAAGTTATTATTTTTATACTCTTATGAAAGTGCTTTTAACAAAGAATATTTTCAATAGAATAATAAAATTGGTCAAAGTATTAAAAATGGCTATGTTTTTTGGGACGAAGACAATATTTTGTACTCCATATTAAGAATGCAAAATATTTTAGGATGTTCTTACTTGGACAGTTTTAGTCTCAGACTAGACCATACTAGACTTAAACAGACGAAATTAGACCAGACCAGACATAAACAGACCGACTTCCATAGTTATAAAATACAAAGAGACCAGATATTTACCAGATCATAAGACGAGACCAGACTTAAACAGACCAGATCAGACTAGATCAGACTTAAACAGATTAGACCAGACCTGACCAGATCAGACCAGATCGGGCCAACAAATTATAGTCTAGTAAAAATATCCTTACTATTCTCACCCAGCTATGTTCGGCGATGCATTTCAGCCCATTATTGACGTCAGCTAATAAGAAATCAAGTAGTCCTGCTTGGATCTGATTCATAAAACTGAGGGAGCAGAAGCAGAAGCTGGAGAGTTTGTGTGAAAGTGCAGAAGTGATTCTGGTGCTCTTTTTTACTCCTAGAATCAGTTTTTTAGAAGATGGGGATGACCAGCTTCTGAAAACTGATTCTGATTCTGCTTCTGCTTTAAAAAAGAACCAGAAGCAGAATTAGTTCCAAACACCCCCTATATAACACCTTCCGGATCCGTGTCGTTGGTCTGGCCTATTTATCGCATTGGGTTTTATTTTTAAATATTGTTTAATTTTGTTACTAATAGGGTTTTATATATATTAATGTCAAAGTTGTGTATCGGCAAATGTGAAAAGTTGACCGTTGCACTTATTTAAGAACGGAGGAAGTATTAATTATCTAAACACACACCATCACTGGAACTACTACATCACCTCACTGCACACAACTGTGAACAATCGGATCACTAATCTCAAAATAATCTATGGATTTAAGAATGCACAACTATAATCCAATGGTTTACATATGTTGAACATACTTTACGTCCTAACATGTACATATTTTGCTCACTCATATTCATCCGTATAGAAATCCTTTTGTGTTTGATTTTTTTTTGTATCCTTATGTGTTCGATATTAGTTCTTAATTGTTGTGTGTTAAATACTGCCTTTTGTGATTAAGATACTTGTTCTGGTGCTTTGTATACAAACTATGTGTAAGATGCTACTTTTCATGTGTATTAGATATTGATCGTTGTGTGTTAGATTGATGTTCTTGTCTGTGTGATAGCGGGAGATGCATGTGGTTTATTGTATACGAAGTACATATTATACTTATTTAAAAAAATTATATATGCAAATGCAATATTGGTGTGATATGAAAGATAATAAAAAATTATTGGCTAAAGGGTCAAATAGGTACATGAACTAACTTAAAGTGTTCAATTAGCCACTTATATAGGAAGTTCTACCCGGCCGTCGCCAATTGGGGCGGTTCCCGGTGGAATTTTTTGATGAAATTTTTTGAGCATCTTCTTCATTAAGTCTAGTTTACCCATATCAAATTTCAGCTAAAAATTAAATCGGGAAGGCAGTCAAATGATATTCCGAAATGTAATGCGCTATTTAACTGCACAGTTATCTTAAAAAATTCATTTGACTGCCTTCGGTTGATTTTTTAGCTTAAATTTGGTATAGGTAAACTAGACTTAATGAAGAAGATGCTCAAAACAATTCATCAAAAAATTCCACTGGAAACCGCCCCAATTGGCGACGATCGGGCAGAGGCTCCTATATAAGGGGCTAATTGAACACTTTAAGTTAGTTTATGTACCTATTTGACCCTTTAGCCAAAATTATTTAATTTCATAGTAGTACTACCTCCGTCCCGTTGGAAGGTTCCCCTAGCAAAATGACACGGTTATTTAGGCAGTAATCAAATAAAGTACTTCAAGTATATTTTGAGAAATAATCTTAATACTCCGTGTGTGTGTGTGTGTGTGTGTATATATATATATATATATTATAATGTAGTTAATATTGATAACTGTGATGTTATAAATTTATTATTTTTAATATTTAATGATTAATTTGTCACTTAAGATTGTTAATTGTTTCCTAAAATAGAAATGAGAACCTTTACGTGGGACGTCCAAAAAAGGAAAGCGGGAACCTTCTAATGAGACAGAGGGAAACATAATTTGTGATAAAATTGGATTATAATTTAAAAAGTTAAATCAATTTTAAACTAAAAACATTTTATATGATTTGAGTTTTTATTTTTACCTACTTTTTTGGAAAGTGGTAGCCTCCAACAGTTACATTATTAAATGAATTTGATAGAATTACTCTAATTCCCTGTATTAGTTCCACATCCCAATTCCATTTGTACGAGATAAGTTATTTTGTCCTAGATGTTCATATTTGTACTATGAACCAATTACTTAATGGCCGGTGATTTAATGAGATGGTGGGTTATGATGCGTTCGCACTTCTCACAATAAGAGATGTTCTCATTAGAACCACTCCCCGTGTAATTGTATTTATTTGTGTTTATATAGATTATGGCTCTAAGATTAAAGTTATATGCATTCTAATGATCTAATACATATAAAGATAAAGTTTTTCTTGTTACTGTGTTCACTGTTTAGTGTTGTATTAATTTTTTAAACCAACTCATTGTTCATTTATTTTCATGGATGAATTTTTATAGTTTTTTATCGATTCACTTACATATCGAATTAATTCTTCATTGGATACGAAGCTATTTAGGCTTTAGCTTTGGCAGGATGCTAAACTATTATGGTTTTAGCACTATTAGTGATTATTTTAATATGTATAATAATACACTTACATTGTAAGAAACCTACACAAATACAATTTTAGATCACATGTAGGCTTATGAATATGTGCATGATAATACACACTCAGTAGCAGGGAGTTTTAATGTCATATCATATAATATGGTTGCTATTCGTACCTGTAATATGGACCCTGAAGATATATTTTCTGATCTGCCACATACCTACTTGATATCTCAGTGATACTCCCGCGATGCTGTTGATGTCCCCCACTTCAGATCATTGCAATGCCTCTTGATCTTATCATTTTTCTTCAGTCTAAAGTCCTCATTTCCAACACCATAATTCTCAACTCTACTTTACAACTTAAGAATGGAGCTAAGCTTAAAATGATGCAAGTGATGTCATTTAGTTTTATGAAAAAATTAATCTTGAGTTAAATTTAATTAAATATTTCCCTTCTTGATTTTGTGCTTAGGAAAATGGAAATACCACTAATTTGAAGAGGGAGTTGGTCAAATTGTTTGGTGTTTCACTTTGCCAAGGGCTGCATACTCAATTGAATATTGAGCCACAGATTAAGTTGTCCAAATCAATGTTTGGCGATTACCAGTGGTATTAACTATTAACTCAATCACATATATGGTTTCTTATCTGTTATCTTTTTCGGTTACAAACTTATTGTAACATTTGGTTTGCTAACACGATAACATTTTTTGAGTAACTGTGATGTGTAATAGTTGTTGTATTTACCATTGTTTGCTGAAGGTTATTATCAAGGAGAATTAGTGACTTTTTTTTTTATCCCTGATAGGCATTCTAGTTGCATTTGGTAACCTGATTGTCATTTTTAATGTTATATCATAATATGTTGCTATGATTATTTCAGTGAAAGTGCCAAGGTTATGTTTGCTAAACTGAAAGGAACATGTAGTCAATACCAGAACTCTCTAGCTGTTGGAGAGGTTAGTATTGAATAATTGTGTGTCCTTTACAATTTTACTTTTTGGCAGGCCATCATGAGAAACCTCCCCTTTTCTGAAATCTTAGAGTCATCCTCGGTTGCTGCAAATGGGTTCGTGAATGTCGTTTTGTCAAAAACATGGATGGCTAAGGTGCTTTGCATAATCCTTTTTCATATGTTTTCCGCGACTGTGCAGTGAACATTGACATTAAACCTTAAGCCTCCACGGGCGGAAAATAATGCCCAGTAGTGTTTGTTTCTTTTGGTACACAGTTTTGAGAAATTAAATAGTAGACACAAAGCTTTTGCATTGAATAAAAATACATATTTTATCCATCATTTTATACTTCATTGATACCACAATGCTGGAATGAATGCATTTAATGTTATGTGCTGCATAACATTCAAGAGATGCTTGTCAACGACATTGAAACTTGGGCACCTATGCTTTCGATCAAAAGGGCGCTTGTAGATCACTTTCGATCAAAAGGGCGTTCCAGACACAAACAATAAAAATGTGAATATTTTTTTCTCCGTTACCTTTATTTATATGTTCTCTGAATGTGATGTTGTTTTTGAAACTTGTGGACAATCCTTTAGTGAGCTTTCACTAAGCCATTAACATATACTACCTATGTCCCACTAGCATTGGGACATGAGGAGGTGGCACACTTATTAAGAAAAATGAGTTTGTGTGGTTGATAAAGTAAGAATAAAGTAAGAATAATTTAGAACCACACAAATTTTACCAAATTTGGTATAGCACAATCTTAGTGGAACGGACCGCAAAGGAATGATGGGAGTATTAGGCTACTGTCAGGAATATTTTTAAATATACACTGTCTGATTTGGGATGTTAGCTCTAAGAGGGAGTAATGTCTCCTTTTGCCCTTATTCCCTGTAAATATTGCTTGAAATGAAAATGGATGCCGACCCTGTTTTTTCTGTTCAATCCATTTGAGTCTCACTAGTGTAGTTGAATTTAGAGAAAAATGGTTAGGATAGTATCAACAATGTTTTATTGAATGTACAGAAAAAGCTTAGCAAAATGTAAACAATAACTTTGTATAACTATCATTTATGTTGGCATGCTTTTCCATTTTGACAGGGAGAAAGCTTTTACAATCCATATATTCCCGGGGTGATAGAGGAACTTACCCATAAAGGGTTAGTCAAAGAAAGTGCAGGTGCTCGTGCCATATTCATTGAAGGCTATTGCGTGCCTCTAATTGTTGTGAAGAGAGATGGAGGTTATAACTATGCTTCTACTGATCTTGTTTCTCTTTGGTTAGTTTGTCTCTCCTTAATTAATCTATACATTTGTGATTTCTACTTTCTAGTAGTTGGCAGTAATGCAGTAATGCTATCTCTGTAAATGCTCCCTCAGATTTCTCTATTGTTCGTTGATTGAGTTTCAGTAGATGGGATAGGAACATATTATGGATCATAACTTGCTCCAAAGTTAGAGGCATAACTATTGTGGTTTCTTGTTTTTTTTGGAGATAAATGTAAATATATATTAACACCCAGAAAAAATATACATCACATATTCTAGATCTCCTAAAACCTCCCCCACCCCCACATAATGTGAGGGTGAAAGGGGGTTTTTATTCGATCTATTCTATGCCAAAATAACCAAGTATAATACTTGGCCTATCAAGAGGTTCAAAGATACATCGGTGCCGCACATGCACACACACAGATCAGAGGCTAACAATCTAATCAAAATACAAAGGTGTTGCAAGATGTACACACCCTAAAGTCCAAGACCATGCTTCATGTTGCGGCATCCATTATGTCCATGCCGCGGTGTCCCAAGTGCCCAAGCCGCAGCATCCAAGATATCCATGCCTCAGCGCACCAACCAGTCGTGTAGCCATCTGTCCATATCGCGGCATCCATAATGTCCATGTCGCGGCCTTCTAGTAAAAAAACTATCAAATCCTGTGGGTAGAGACTAAAGAGTATCCGATATACTACAGTCTTGATTTTAGCAACAATGTCCTCCTCCATCTTCATTACTTCATCAAACCTTACCGCGTTCCTTGCATGCCAGATGTAGTAGACTGCGGCACAGAATGCCAGTCTAGCTGCTTTGGCCTTCAGCTTCGAACCTCTGTGCATCTTCATTATCCATTTGATCGAGCTGAGTAGCGTGGTCATTTGGTGACTAAATCCAATCCATTCCCTGATCCTTTTACATACCCTACATGTAAAAGGACATTGGAAAAAGAGGTGTGGTATTGTTTCCAAACCACCCTTGCATAAGTCACATCTATTTACTATATGCAGATAACCGAGGCTATCCTGGGTAGGAAGCCGGTTTTGTGGTTTCTAGTGTTTGAGCATGTAGTTGAGTTTCGGTAGACATGTTAGGGGCGTATTGTGCTTTCTAGAGTGCGGCGCATGCTGTTTTCTACTTGATTTGTGGCATTTGTTGTAACTTGTAGGTGGAATAATGGTCAAATAGGTCCCTGAACCAACCCAACTAGGAGCTCTTTTTGGGCCCTTTTGGTTTAGGCCTTTGGGTTGTGGATGGGAGGCAATAGGGTAGTTAAATTACTTTCATCTACTTTGTCAATATATTTATCGTACATCAAAACATAAATATTGCCTCTGTTACTTCAGTTACCTACTGGGAAACAAAGACTTATTACTATTATTGTCCCTTTTAAGGTGTTTTTTTCAATACTCCCTCCTTTCCTTATAACTTTGTCATCTTTCCTTTTTTTGTTGTTGTCCCCTTTTAGAAGCTGTTCTCTTCGCCTGATTTGAATGTTTCTGATCTGAATTTTTTAAGTTCTGATCTGATCTGATCTGAATTTTTCTGATCAGATCTGAATCTTTCTGATCTGATCTGAATCTTTCTGATCTGATCTGATCTGAATCTTTCTGATCTGATCTGAATGTTTCTGATCTGGTCTGATCTGATCTGAATGTTTCTGATCTGATCTGAATCCTTCTGATCTGATCTGAATCTTTCTGATCTGATTTGAATATTTCTATGATTATAATTATAATTATAATTATAATTATTATAATTGCAATTACAAATATAATTTAAATAAAATTATAATTATAATCGTAACTATAAAAATAATAATAATAATAATAATAATTAAAATTAAATTTAAAATGAAAAAATTTATACTTATTACACTAATTATAAATATAGATATAATTATAATTGTAATCATATTTTTAATTATAATTACTTATATAATTATAATTGTAATTATAATTACAATATTTATCTCTATAATTGTAACTATAGTTATCAATATTATTATAATTACTCCGTAAAATAATTACAATAGTAATAATAATAATAATATTAATAATTATAATAAAAATAATAATTATAATCATAAATTATAATTATAATATAATTATAAGTATAATTATAATTATTATAATTATAATTAATAATAATTATAATTATATTAACATTAATTATAATATTATAATATAATAATATTAATATTATAATAACGATATTATTATATTAATATTATTATTACAATATAATAATAATAATATGATTATTATTATTATGATTAGTATTATATTAGTATAATATTATATTATTATTATAATCATAATTATAAATATTTTTGTAATTATAATTATAATCATTATAATTATAATTAATTACAATTATAATTGTAAATATTTATAGATATAATTATAATAATTACAATTGATTATACTTATAATTATAAGAATTATAATTGTAATTATAATTATAATTACATATAATTATAATATAATATTATAATAATATTAATCATATTATTATTATTATATTTTAATAATAATAATAATAATAATAATAATAATAATAATAATAATAATAATAATAATAATAATAATAGTCTTCTTAATAATTACATTTATATTACTATTATTATATTAAAATATTATAACTATTATTAATATCTTATTTTTTTATCATATTATTATTAATATTATTAATAATAATTATATAATAATAATCATAATTGTAATAACAATATTAATAATAATAATTAATATAATAATAAAAGTGATAAATCATGTTTGAACTTTTCTGATCTGATCTGATCTGAATGTTTCTGATCTGGTCTGAATGTTTCTGATCTGGTCTGATCTGATCTGAATCTTTCTGATCTGATCTGAATCTTTCTGATCTGATCTGGTCTGATCTGATCTGAATCCATACACTCTAAGTTCCATTGATAAAACTAAATTGAATCAATATAGTATATATCACGTATAAAACAATAAATACCCGGGTAATAAAAAATCAAATTCCTTCTTGATTTATCAGCTTCTAAGAATAGAATCAGTCAGTCAAGTATCTTGTGGTCTGAAGGCATCACCTTGGCACTCCCAAGGAGGAAGTCACAGGTTCGAATCACATCCCAGTTCAAGGATATTGGCATTAACATTGAACATATAGTTAGAAAGAATTGTTCAAAAAAAGAATAGAATCAATCACTTTTTTGGGAAGAAGAATCAGAATGAGTCACTTGTTAGTAACTGCTCTCCATTAATTACTCTTGTCTCTTTCCAAATTCATTGTCATTACACTTATGACTTATCTATATACTGTACATAATAATAAAAATAAAATAGTGAGAGAGGACTTTTGGATCGAAGGTTGTAGCACTTTGTATGAATATTTATTTAATGTAAAATTTATTGATAGGGTTAAATTGTTTGTGATTAAAAAAAATAGTGATGGATGAGTTGTAGTGTAGACTGTGTAGCATATTGACGGTAAAAATAGAAACGTGATTTAGAGCCTAAACGGGTTGATGACAAAATAAAAGAGAATAAAAAACTTTTATTATTAGATAGGCTGTTGAACTTCTCAAAGAGAAACCCATAATTATTCACATATGGAAGAAAAAAAGCGTGTAACTCACAGATATGAAGTAAATGATCTCAATAATCTTCAATGCATAATCTATTTATATATATATAAAAAAAGAAATAGCTCATATAAATACAATTTTACCCTTGAAAAATCTTATGTGTCATTCTCCCCACAAATTACTCCTCTACTGTGCAAATGCCATGTGGCGAATTTAAGGTTGATACCCAACTAACTGAACAAGCAAAGAACAAAGGAAGGTGACCCTTCATATTAAAAAAACACGTGGCATTAATTTTGTGGGGCCCAATATATAAAAAACACCATTTCTTTTAAAGTGTTATACTCCCTCCGTAACATTCATATCTTCCCACTTTCCTTTTTTGGATGTAACATTCATATCTTCCTATTTCTAAATCTTCCCATCATACCCCCAATAATTTTAAAAATAATACACTATTACACCTACTTTTTTTGGATTTATCCTTCATTCCATCACATTATTTCACTATCTTCCCATCATACCCTCAATAATTAATATCCCCTTTCACTATTCTTAATCTACATACTTTTCAAATGGGAACATATATATGTTACGGAGGGAGTAAGTTTTTAAGCATTTATCTGATATTTATAAAAATTATATCAAAATTCATAATTTTTTACGATCTTTCATTTGACACCAATATTGAATACATAAAAGTTTAAAAAAATCTGAAGATTTATTAAACAATCTTCCCATTTTCCAACCTTAATACTATCTTATCTTATCTTATCTTATCTTATCTTATCTTATCTTATCTTATCTTATCTTATCTTATCTTATCTTATCTTATCTTATCTTATCTTATCTTATCTTATCTTATCTTATCTTATCTTATCTTATCTTATCTTATCTTATCTTATCTTATCTTATCTTATCTTATCTTATCTTATCTTATCTTATCTTATCTTATCTTATCTTATCTTATCTTATCTTATCTTATCTTATCTTATCTTATCTTATCTTATCTTATCTTATCTTCTTATATTTGCAAGCTTTTAGGTATAAGAAGATAAGTTAGCAATAAGATAAATTAACTAACAATTGAGTGGAATAATTTTCTCTCTCATATGTAGTGTTTTTAGGTATAAAGATGATAAACTTGCAAATAATTGAGTGACATAATTTTCTCTCTCATATGTAGCGCTTTTAGTTATTTTATATCTAAAAGCTAGAACTACATACGATAAAAAATTCCAACTCTTAATTGTTAGCCGAATTGTCTTATATCTAAAATCACTACGTATAAGTGGGACACTTCTGCCACTTATTTGTTAGCCAGATTTTCTCTCATATGTTAGCACCAATTTAACTAATAATTATCAAGTTCTTATTTAACTAATATTCGTTAGTTTTAATATTTATTGTAATGACTTGAATTTTATGTCATTCACTTATTGTACTCACTTTTTTTGAATAGTACTCCCTCCGTCCCGTTTTACCTGTCTTAGGATGTTTTCTTTTGGACTGTTTTCAGTCCCAGACCAGACCAGCCCAGACCAGATCAGACTCGACCAGACTTAAACAGACCAGACCAGACCAGACTTAAACAAACCAGACCAGACCAGACTTGGATAGTTATAAAATACACAGAGACCAGACGTTTACTAGACCAGACCAGACTTAAACAGACCAGATCAGACCAGACCAGACCAGCAAATTTCAGTCCAAAA